AGCAGAATTGTTCTACTAAAGAGCACACTATAATGTTTACCGCTATAAATAATGCTCATCAAGCATTGAAAACATTACCTTACTTTTCTCTGCCTTTTATTTAAGGGTGTTTTAGGATATTTCCCACTAAGTTTGTGTTGTTTTCGGTAATTAGTGATTTATTTTGTTTAATTCGATCATGTCTATTACGCTAAAAAGATAATCATGGTAAGTGAACACACTCATGTTACAAGCAGAAATCGCAAAAACGTGTGGAGTTAGTCAGGCGATAGTAAACAAGATTTTAAAGCATAAACGAGAAATGAGATATGTAGATGTAAAAAGATTAGGAAAATATGGAAGAAAGAGAACAACAACACCTGCAGATAAAATATTTATACTTCGAAAGAGCAAATTTTAGCCAAGAAAAACAAGCCAAGAGCTCCAACAAGATCTAGCAGCATCAGGTGCAGTGATTTTAGACTCAACTGTTCAAAATAGTTTATTAAAAATCCTTTGTAAAAGGTATATATTAACATACCTAAATTTATACCTTTTACAAAAGATTTTTAATAATTTTTTTTTTATATGGTATACAGCCAACTACAGGAACGTAGATTCCTTGTGGACGTTCGAAAAAGATTTTTCGAGTATGGTAGAAGTGCAATGCATCCACAGACAAAAAACTTCTAACCGAACGAATTAACAAACAAAATGCTATTGTGGCCAAAAAAAAAATTGAAATTGGGCTGTAGACGACTGAAGAAATGTCCTATATATAGATAAAACTCACTTTATAAAGGAACAAAGTCTAAATTATGTCGTAAAATCAAAGGTAACCTGTCCATTTAGATATAAAATAACACATAATCAAACAAATTGTCAACCCCAACAAGAAGAAACTTTGAAAAAAAGAAATTATGATTTGGATAGTTTAACCAAAGAGAGAACAAGAAAACTATATCAACAAAGACTGGATGGCAAACTAATGAATATAACTAAAACATCAACAGTGGAGAGGGTATATAAAAACGTAGTCGTTAAAAAAGCTGCAGAAGGAGCACTCGGTTCTCACACTCAAAGACAAAGTGAAACACTATGGTGGAACAAAAAAAAGGAGCACTCGTAGAAGAGAAAAAACAAGCGTATATCAGATAGCTGAGCAGTAAATAACAAAAAGATGGAGATGAATACCTGGAACTCAAAATAATAACAAGAAGAACAACAGTAAAAGCAAAAAGAGAAATGTGGGATAAGAAGTGCCAGGAAATTAATACCTAACTGGAAGGCAAAAAATGTACAGAAACATGAAAGTTCCCCAGTAAAATAAGAACTAACGAAAGAAAGAGTACTAACATTCAATTATTATCCACACAAAAATGAAAAAGTAATATGGGGAACTACTGACAGAAAATAGGGACAAATACTTAACTCAATCACCAACAGAGGTTAATATTGAAGAAGAAGATATAACAATAGAAGTGACAGAAATTAGAAAAGCTATAAAAGAACTACAAAACAAGAGGTCTCCAGAACCAGGGATATCCCAGCCGAACTGATAAAATGTGGATCACAAAAATTGTTTGAAACCGTCTTTTGGTGCATAAATCAATTTATTAATAAACTTTGAAAATTAAGGCAATTATATCAAGCACAAGTTTAATTAAATCTTGCACAAGTATGTACTTTCGCTTAATATAGCATCTTCAGGGGCATTTCGTCAAATATGGGCTATCCGTCAAGCGTAGAATGTCATGAATATGAATGATAACATAAAATTGTACAAACACTACACGAAAAACAAGGACAAACAGTTTAAAATTAGGTAAAACATTACTACGCTCTACATTCTTTGGCGGTATCAGGAGAGAGAGAGAGAATTCTCTGTTATCATTCATGCTCATGACATTCTACGCTTGCCGGATAGCCCATATTTGACGAAATGCCCCTGATGATGCTATATTAAGCGAAAGTACTTGGGCAAGATTTAAATAAACTTGTGCTCGATATAATTGCCTTAATTTTCAAAGTTCATTTATTTCAGCATTCAACCTCATATCAATAATTTATTAATAGTTCTCCCGTACACGACGAGTGAAAAATTGCTTATATTTCGTCGATCCATAAAAAAGGAGATAAGCTTAAATGTGAAAACTATAGAGGAATATTAGTCACTAGTACATTCAGCCGTTTGTATGGACGAATAATTAGAGACTGCATTGAGAAGGAATACAAAGACCAAGAGGAAGAAGAACAATCCGGTTTTCGAACAGGAAGAAGCTGTACTGATAATATCTTCTGTCTTAAACAACTAATAGAAAAAAAATTAAGCACAAATTAAGAAACTCATCACATGTTTATTGACTTGCAGAAGGCGTATGATACAGTTCCTGTAAACAAACTCTGGAACGTGTTACGACAGACTAATATTAGTGTCACCTTAATTAAATTTGCATAAAGGGTCAACATCACAAATAAAAACTGGAAACAGACTATCACAAAGGTTTCTGGTTAATAAAGGTCTACGTCAGGGGTGTTGTGTATCACCGACCTTGTTTAAAATATATGTTACAAAAGCATTGAAAGAGTGGAAACGAAAATGCAGAGGCATGGGCGTAGACCTTGGAGAGATTTGCTTGTAGACATTGCAGTTTGCTGATGACCAGGTTGTTATGGCAAACGATAAAAATGATCTGGAATACATGGCAAGAAAATTACAAGAAGAATATAGCAAGTGGGGACTAGAAATAAATACAGAAAAAACAAAATACCTGCCAATAGGTACCGAACTATCGAACATCACATTATAAAATAACGAAATCATCATGCCCTGCGACCATTACACATACCTAGGAATCGTTTTTGACACAACGGGGAAAGATGATGAAGAAATAAAGAGAAGAATAACACAATCCAGAAAAACAATAGGTTGTCTAAACAGCATACTGTGGAGTCTTGACATAGGAAAAAGAAGAAATTACAATATTTACGAATCTCTTATTAAAATCAGTCTATTTTACGGAGCAGAAACTTGGAGGCAGTAGAAATGGACGCTTTTAGAAGATCAGTAGGAGTGTCACGCAGAGAGAAAATACGTAATGATGGAATAAGACAGCGAATGGGGGTTGACGGCTCTCTAACAACAGACATAGAAAGAAAACAGCTCATATGATACGGACACGTCTAGAGGATGGATAACTCAAGACTTCCAAAAATAATTATGCAATGGGTACCACCAAACCGCAGAAAGAGAGAAAGACCCAAGACATCTTGGAGAGAGGGAGTAACGACGGCGATGAGCGCAAGAGATCTAAGAGAGGGCCAATGAGATTTTTTAATGATATTAAGGTATAAGCGGTGGTTTCTGGGTTAAACAATTTGTATTAAAGTATAAAAAATATCAATGAATATGTTCATGTTACTTAATTCAATCATAGTTTTATAAATACACGCTTAAATACGCATTTTCCTATTTTTTTCACTCAAGGGTAGTTTTAAGCCACTAAAAAACAAAAATCACACTTCTCTTATATATAACTTTTGCAAAGAAGAGTAAGACAAGCTTAAATCAAAATTTTCAGCTAAATCGATGCAGTCTGGTCGAATTAAAAGGTAAGGTCCTATTTTCTGCCCGAGTTCCTGGACTACGAAAATAGCTTTCAATTAACTTATCTGGTTGACTTTCTAAAATACTACAGCTTATTTCAAATCAAGTGGCGAGCCCTTTCACGAAATAGTTAATCGCGCAGACTATAGAATATCTATGATCCGACCCATGCAGTGGCGTTGCAATATTAAACAAATTAAATTATTTAAAATCGCGCTAATTTCAAGATTATTACTCACTTAAGTAATAAATGGAGTTTGATTGTACACAGATAGTTATATATTATTATAAAGTATAGGTACCAAAATTTTGTTTGTTATAATACTATCTTTAATTATTGATACTCTGTAAAGTTTGGTAAAAGTTAGTTTCTAATTTAGTATCAGAAACCTTAAAACCGTAATTATAAAGTCAAACGACTCGTTAAGGATATACAAAGAACAAATAAGAATTATTTCTGAGAATTTCTAGTCACTGGATTTTAAACGAGTTTGTAATTTAGTCTTATGTTGTCGAGTCTCAACAATAAAGTTGCTACCACGCGTATTAGAAGTATTTTATCAAATGGAGATTGTTAAGTGTGGTACGCGTAAATAGATCAGATTGACACTAGAGAATCCAAAGGAATAGTTTACAATTTATTTAAATACATATTATGCAATAACTCTTTCCTGAAGATAATCGAACCAATATTAAATCACGTGTGAGTGAAGCTATTGGAGTATCATTAAGTACAGTAAAAGCGATCATTCAACAAGCAAGTATTTTAACACAGTCAAAGTTTAACATGTAGAGTCAAATAATACAATAAAATTTCGAGCTACAACACTTGCTAAAAAACAAGCAACCGTGATAGACTTGAGGGAGTATCAGAAATACTTCATTAGAAATACCATTCATCGTTTTCATGAGACTGAACGTTGTCGTGTATCATTGAAGCTTTTGCAGAAAATTCTTAAATGAATTGGGAAAGATTTGGTATTTAAATAAAAGAAAATGAAATATAATCAACGTTTATTAATTGAACGAAATGTTATTCGTGCTCTATGCATTAAATATTTGGAAAAAATTAAATATTACAGAAGCGAAGGTAAGTCAATTGTATATGTTAATAAAACTTATGTAGGACACACGTCAAATAGCTGGACAGATGACAGTGTCAAAAAATTGTTCATAAACATTTAAAAAAAATAGGTTATTTATCGTACATCAGGGTTTCCCAACCTTTTCTTTGTTGGGGCTCCCCGGACTATAAATTAAATGTTTATGCCCCCCCTTTACTTTTTAATGAATACAACAAAAACGCACAATATATACTTAAAATTTTATTTTAATTCTAATAAACAAATTTTAAAAGTTTAATTAAACTAGTACATGTTTTTTATCAAAAAAATTAAATTTAACAAAGTAAATATTAATGAGACACTTGAGATTGCATATTCTGTACTATTTGGTTGATTCTAGGATCTGTTTTTGCCAGAGCTATCATCAGGTCGCTATCGACATCAAGACAATTTCGCTGTTTAGTTTTAATTAAAACTAGAGCAGAAAAGCCTGTCTCACATAAGTAAGTTGAAGAAAAAGGAACTAGTATTCGTAAAGCAAGAGAGGCAACCTTCGAATTAACAGGAAATCTTTTAATCCAAAATTTCTCCAATGTCAAGAGATGGAAGTCATCTTTCATGGACGAGTCAGCCATCATATCTAGAAATTCTTCCTGAATTTCTTTTGGTAATTGGAACACATCAAGAACAAATGGATTTCTTGTCCTACGCCATATTGGTGACTCTGAATTGATGTCTCCATAGTATCGGCGAAATTCGTCTTTCAGCGCTTGCAAATGAGTTTTTATGTCAGCTTTCAAATTTGCGTCAAGTATATTATTTTTAATTGCTTCGAATAGCCGAGAAAAAGACATAACATTTTCAGAAGAGATTTTTTGATTCCAAAGTTGAAGCTTTGATATGAACCCTTGAATATAATCATAATTGCTTATTATAGTGCCGTTACTGCCCTGAAGTTTTAAGTTTAGTTCATTCAAGGCATCGAATATGTCAGCCAAATAAGCCAACCTCCATTGAAATGTATCATCTTTGAACATTGTGAAGAAATCGTGTTTTTCTTTCTCGAGAAAAAGAATTACTTCTTCTTTCAATTCATAAAGGCGAGCCAACATGTTGTAATGTGAGCGTAGCAAGTGAGTGAGAAGTTGAAATAAAGGACTAAGTAGCATAGAAAAGATAATAATTATTCGAGATAATTATTATATATTCCAAATCAAATAAGGGATAATTATTATAGTAAAATTTGCATTTTAAATCACACAAAGAAATTGACCTAGTTATTGCATTGTTTGATAATCGTTTAAACATAGAAAAGCACGTCAAACAGAAACTGTTATTGTAATGCAATATAGGACCCACAATTCAACGAAAACACGACCTTGGCACTATAACCGGTATTGAAAATATGAGCTCGATAAAAACTAGAAAACTGGGACAGCCAAGTCAGTAGTTAGAGGTCAGTAGTTCGTAATGGACAGTCAGTGATAGCTAGGCACCGTGGCTGGACGCGATAGCGTCCAGTACGCGATCAGTACGGGCAGTTGGTAATGAGCGGTCCGTAGTAGCGGGGCAGCTGTGCCTGCCCAAGGCAGTAATTGCCTCCGAGAGCGTTCAGTACGAAGTAGTTAGTAATCAGTAGTTAGTAATAGGCAGTCAGTGATAGCGGGGCAGCTGTGACTACCCGAGGCAGTAATTGCCTCCGGGAGCGTCCAGTACGCGAGACAGTCGGTAATTCTCCGGGGGACGCTTATCATCCGGCCTAGTATCGCGTGTAGTCCGGTTATTGTGGCAGCTAGTAAGTTCTTAACACAAGAGGAGACCCTAAACTGACCGAGTTCCAGAGGACCGAAACGTGTCGTGGTTGAAATCCCTAATACACACATAAGGTAACAGATTTCTTTATACTAACCCTATTAATTATATTAGTTGTACTGTCAAGCTCATCACTCTCTCGCTCTCTTCTGTTCATTTACAGGACCCTATACATAGAAGTTCCTTACCCCCTAATACTGAACTTCTCTCCACTTCTCGTAAATCTGTCCCAATGTATCACTTTACACATTTTGTTGACAGCGATCCCGGTTTGGGGGAATTTCGGAAAATAGGGATAACTAAGTCACTTCTTCAGTATCCTTGTAAACTTTTGCAAGTTTTATAGTTATAAGAAACCTTCATCGTTAAAATTTCATTTCACCATCGACATTCCAATATTCTTTCTTCTAAGACGACAATAGATTAAAGAAACAGTAAGGTATCCAGTAAATATTGTGTGGAGTGCAGGACTCCCCTTTCTGAAAAAAAAATCCTTTTTCTCTCCTTTCTTTTTCTCAACATTGACGTTTTAGAAGTACAGACTCATGTGAGGTTTTGAAAAATTTAGGGTATAAGCAAACCAGTTAGCCTAGATAATTTTCCAAGAGATCCATTTAGTACAAAAAAAGAAAAAAGTATATAAACTTGTTGGTGGTTTTACACAAATTGTTCGTATATAGTAGATTTTTTTTTCTTGTATCACTAGAAAATTTCCGCATATCAATCCCTTCTTGAGACCTACCATCCTAAATTAAGATAGGTGAATTGCTTTTATGATATATGTGAAGAGATGACAAGTACAAATTTTTTCAAAAAAATACATACTAACACATTATATGATGTTCTCTATATAATTGTTTTTTTTTTAAATAATAAATATATTGTTTACTAACTAGTTGAATATAAAGAATTTAAGTAATTAGGTCAAGATCAAGTTCAATTGAGTGTACGATTTTATTGCTTTCAAAAGCGCAAAATATAAATTCTTTGAGTATTATTTTACTGACTAACGGTTTACATAAATATTATCAAATTCTTTTGTTTAATGTATCAAGTGAAAGTGAAATATGATACTATTTGCTCGACGTGTGTTTGAAAAATATTAAACGCGCTTGGTCAAGTAATATACACTGAGAAATTAGATATGACTTTGTCTAACTAATTAATTAAAGTAAATTGGGATATTTGGATTTATAAATAACGTTTCATTTGTAAAAAGGAAAAGAATTTAATAGAGCTTAATTTTTCAAAATAAATAAATACTAACACCTTAGTTGATATCTGAGTATTGATTGATTGATCGATTATTATTTGATTTGATTATTTAATATTTTATACAGATTTGTTTTTAAGTTCGGCAGCGCACATTTCTAAGTTCTTTTATTTTAACAAAAATTTAATTCTTTATACAATTGTCTATTAACGTCATAAATTAGCATATCATACGGAAATAAACTTATAAACAAAAAGGGAAAAGAATTTAATAGAGCTTTGGAAGATAATTGACCGTGGCGTCAGAAAATCTTTTCACTATTTTGGAATGATTTCCACGAACATATGAGTTCGGGAATGGATGCATCGCAAGGAAAATGCATAGAAGCACGTAAAGTGGTTCTTTGGGCTGTGGCCCATATTTAAAGAAAATTTGAGTCGAGTCTTTGTCAACGTCCTATAGTGATTTTGACAAACGTAATTTGCGAGACACTAGGAGACTTGCTACAGTTTATGTACCAGGGAAAAGTGCAAATTGTACAGGAAGACCTAAGGGCCTTCACTGAGGCGGCCGAATCGTTGCAAAGGCAAGGACTCGCTGGAGACGGAAAAGTTATAATGGTTACTATCGTTAAAGTAACTTGCTACAGTTTATGTACCAGGGAAAAGTGCAAATTGGACAGGAAGACCTAAGGACCTTCACTGAAGCGGCCGAATCGTGCAAAGGCAAGGACTCGCTGGAGACGAAAAAAATTATAATAGTTACTATCGTTTAAAGTAACTTTGCTACAGTTTATGTACCAGGGAAAAGTGCAAATTGTACAGGAAGACCTAAGGGCCTTCACTGAGGCGGCCGAATCGTTGCAAAGGCAAGGACTCGCTGGAGACGGAAAAGTTATAATGGTTACTATCGTTAAAGTAACTTGCTACAGTTTATGTACCAGGGAAAAGTGCAAATTGGACAGGAAGACCTAAGGGCCTTCACTGAAGCAGCCGAATCGTTGCAAAGGCAAGGACTTGCTGGAAACGGAAAAGTTATAGTAGTTACTATCGTTTAAAGTAACAATATAGAGACTTTGGACGAAGAAGGTACTCTGAATGTAGAAGAGTTTAAGCCAGTTTCTTTGCTTGAGACAAAGAAGCAGAACCATAAAGAAGAAGGAATAATCAGTCTGCACAGGTGGGATGCCACAGAAATAGAGGCATATCTCACATAGCATACTAAGATGAATACAGTGCCAGAAGCACATTTTTTTACAGGAATGTGGGCAAGCTGTATATGGTTCGAGCTTAAGGGGTGAAACTTACGTCAAGTAGGAGGCTGCTAAGGGGATAAGCTAGGGTGGTACTAGAATCCCAACCCGCTAAGAGTCCCGCGGCTCCAGTACGACAATACAGTATCTACAGGATGTAATAAAAATGCGAAACGAATCTGGAATTGTGATTTTCGTTAATAAAGTAAACGGAAAAGTAAAGGAAAAGGAGAATTATAATTAATACCTTCCACATGTTACAGGAAGGATATGGAAGAATAAATAGGATATATAGTACAGAAATATAGGAGAAGATTATTTCTGGAACGAATTAGGAATAAATATTGAAAAATATATGAAATGTGAAGAGATGCGACGACTGCCAGGGGCATAGCACTCAATTAGAAACAGGAAACACATGCACTTGGACATGGATGAAAATGGAAAAAGCGTATAGGAAAATTAGAAACAGGAAACCCATGCACTTGGACATGGATGAAAATGGAAAAAGTGTATAGAATAATATAGGGACAGGAAACCCATGCACGTGGACATGGATGAAAAATGAAAATAGTGTATAGGAAAACACAGGAGAATATAAATATATAAAATTTGAATTTGAGAGAATTTGAAGATAGAGACAAGGTATATTTGAGAGACTTAAGTAGCACGACAGGTCTTTCAAAGAAGTTACAGAAAAAAAATGGTACTATCCATACCATTACAAATTATAGAAAAAGTTTGACCAGTAACGTATGCAGTAGGTACAAAAAAGGGAAAAATAGACAGGTAGTGTACGTCAACAGGTTAAAGAAATATTACGAGAATAAAACAATTGATTACTCCACAGAGGAAGAAGAAGAAATAGGAGAACCAGAACAAGAAGAGACGGAAGAAGAAAGAGTTGACCCGTCTAAGGTGTCAACACTGCCATTATGGGAACCAGGAACTTCAATTAACAAACCGCAGAGAAGAAGAAAAGGAAGTCAGGGAGACATCAGCCAACCAAAAAGATCAGAACGAATAAAGAATAGACTAAGCAAGATGCCCGAATGAAAATGTTGCGGCATATTCCACATAACGAAAAAAGAAAGGATGGAATACATACAACAGAATAATAAATAAGAACGAGACAGCAATAGTAACACAGAAGGATGAGAACGCAGAAATGTTTTTCGACGCAATAGATGAATAGTAAAAAAAATATCAAAACAACTATAAGAAAAGTTGAAAGCTTGGTATTACAAGAGAAGGCCGCTCGAATAATACTAAAATTTTAACAAGGAACGAAGGACAAAACACAGGTAATATAAGCATTCATAGTTAAATATTAGCACAGTTCAATTAAAATAATTTTTTTTGAAAACATAATAGTACATCATAACTGAAATCAAGTTTTAAGAAAGAGAAATAAGTAAATTAATTTAAAGTTTATAGGGGTCTAAGCTGCTGTTAATTAGTAAGAGCTGGATCGGTAAGATACCATACGCCAATCCTTTATTGCTATGTCAAAACTGATTGACAGACTTGAATTCCTATCAACTAAAAAAGTAGTACAAAAAGTGAGTCAGAGCACTGGTAAATAAACAATTAATAAAGTTCAAGTTTAGAAAACGTTAACAATTAAAAAAAAAATAAATATTGTAGTTTATAACAGACACCAAGAGGTCAAAATATCAGTCAGTATCAAATTTCATCAACAATGTGAGTATATAAAAATTAGCCACTCAGCAAAATGTAATTTAATAGCCTTGAAACATAAATATCATAACATTAAAAACGTGTTTGATGAGAAAGATAAATTCTACCTTTGAATTATTTTGAAATTTTAAGAAAGAGTTAAGGAATAAATTTGAATTTTAAGCCTGAATTTTACGCCTGAAAATAGTTTAACTAAAAACATTTTTCAAATAAGGAAAATTCGTTACACATACGTAACTATAAACAATAAGTAATGACAAGTTGAGAATTAAAAATATATGACTTTAATATACAGGGTGTAAATATAACAGAAAGATCATATATTATATTGTAAATATTTAAAAGTAAAGTCCCAATTATCAACATATTAACAGTGCTTTAGATATCAATTTATTTATCAGTTTATAGGCAATAGGCATACTAATATGCAATACACTGTAGGTTAGTTTATAAGTCAGATTTATGTAAAGCTATCGCTAAAATTGTCTGCAATAAGCAGCTATACATGTATTTATAGGTTAAGGTGCATTTGAATTACGCGTAAAAAGTACTAATGCGAACTAAAGTCTGCTTACGGGAGTGCGACCGTTCGGGAAGCAATAACAGTGCGATTTGTGACACGGGAGAGACTCATTACGGTGGAGAGACTCTTGTTTCACTGTGGGATGTACAGCCACACGTCCATAGTCAATGGAGGACTAGACAGCTACATCAAGAAGATGGGAGCAGAAGAATGCTGAAATATACACCGCTACCGATCAATACGACTCTACAATAGGCTAAATAACCTGGGAACAATACAAACACAACAGTTGTGAAAGTCAATTGTCACAACATTACAGAAGGCACGTTGAAAAGATCACTAATAAACAATCACTAAAAGAATTGGTAATAGTAGAACAAAATAAAAACATATTTGCTCTAACGTTACACAAAAGGGCTATAATATGTAACACAGAAGTATGGCAAACTGAACACCCCCGAATCCTAATAAATTTCCTCTTAAACAAAATAAATCCTAGTATGCCACTCCTACCTCAAAACGTAGACCTAATGACCTACATCACTAGCAAATTCCTTTACACCGAACAATCCTACCAAAGAGAAACAGAAAAGTTATACTTAGACATAGTACTACGACGATGCCAAACAAAGAGATGCAGCAAACACATACCAGAGACCAATGTAGCAGAAGTATAATGCGACAAAGCAAAGCAGTAGCAACCTGAGACGACCACCCAGCAAGGACAAACCAATGGAGGCAGACAGCAGCAGTAACGCATCAATATAGTTAACTCGACACGTGGAATTGACAAACGGACATTAAAACAGCCAAGACGACGCGAGTGAAGTGCGGATAATTCCCACAGGGATACGCGATAAAGTGAACAGTGAACGCAAAACGCGAGTACAATCGTATAGAACAGTTAGAATACGCTTGTCGTAATGGACACATGTAATTACAAACAATTGTAATAAGTTAGGAAAGTCTTTCACTTGTTAAGTTTCAATAAGATTAATACAAGATTAACTCAACTTGTCATAAACATAGGTTTAATACGGGGGCAGCACGATACATTCGCTGACCACGGTACAATAGTCTATAAGAAACAGTAAATGATAAAATAAAAATTGGGACTTATAAAGAAAAATATATATATATATATATATATATATATATACATATAGTAGGATATAAGTAATAAATATTTAAATAATATAAGTTTATTGTTGGAAAAGGAAAAGGCCCCTCGGCCCTTTTCTTTTTTTGCGTAGGGAGTAATGTAATGTGAGCGTAGCAAGTGAGTGAGAAGTTGAAATAAAGGACTAAGTAGCATAGAAAAGATAATAATTATTCGAGATAATTATTATATATTCCAAATCAAATAAGGGATAATTATTACAGTAAAATTTGCATTTTAAATCACACAAAGAAATTGACCTAGTTATTGCATTGTTTGATAATCGTTTAAACATAGAAAAGCACGTCAAACAGAAACTGTTATTGTAATGCAATATAGGACCCACAATTCAACGAAAACACGACCTTGGCACTATAACCGGTATTGAAAATATGAGCTCGATAAAAACTAGAAAACTCGACAGCCAAGTCAGTAGTTAGAAGTCAGTAGTTCGTAATGGACAGTCAGTGATAGCTGGGCACCGTGGCTGGACGCAATAGCGTCCAGTACGCGATCAGCACGGGCAGTTGGTAATGAGCGGTCCGTAGTAGCGGGGCAGCTGTGCCTGCCCAAGGCAGTAATTGCCTCCGAGAGCGTTCAGTACGAAGTAGTTAGTAATCAGTAGTTAGTAATAGGCAGTCAGTGATAGCGGGGCAGCTGTGACTGCCCGAGGCAGTAATTGCCTCCGGGAGCGTCCAGTACGCGAGACAGTCGGTAATTCTCCGGGGGACGCTTATCATCCGGCCTAGTATCGCGTGTAGTCCGGTTATTGTGGCAGCTAGTAAGTTCTTAACACAAGAGGAGACCCTAAACTGACCGAGTTCCAGAGGACCGAAACGTGTCGTGGTTGAAATCCCTAATACACACATAAGGTAACATATTTCTTTATACTAACCTGTGTAATTATATTAGTACAACTGTCAACTCTTCACTATCTTGCTTCATCGTCTCCCGACGCGCAGAATAACGTGTTAACGATTGTATTTGTAACTTCAGGGTAGATTCAATATATTGTTGACTCTAAATTAGTTTTTTTTAATGTTCCTTTCGTCCGACTCACTAGAGACTAGGAGAACACGAGATTCTGCGTATGCATATCTCCGGCTTCAAAAGTAAGCCCATAACCTCTGCTCTTTACAGGACCTGAGACCTAGGAGTCCTTACCCCTATCCCGAAATCCCCTATCTTCTCGTAAATCCACGAAGACGAGCCAGCCCTCCAGACCAGTGTGACCAGTATTCCTTGCAGCCGCTCGCAGAGTTAGCATCCCTTGAGGATCTATTGTGTATTTCATTTGGTGACAGCGTGTTCCTTACCTTCACATAACGCTCCCATTCCTATTATTTTACAGTGGTGACACCGGAGTCGCCTCAGATTATTACACTGGTGACAGCGGCGTCTCGCCTCTGGTTACTACAATGTTGCCTTTGGATAGTCAGCGTACTTCTGTATGGAACAGAAGAACTTTGTGATCAGAATCGAGATCCTCGCAAAGTAAAGTAAATAAACGACTGTTCAAAGCGCTGCTTATAATGTAGTTTACAATCCTTATAGCCGAGTCCAAAGTCTGGCGTAATTTCTGTGGTAATGTTTTGGAAGCCAAAGCTTGCCGATGAATAACACAATGTGTACTAACCATTGCGGGATTTTTTTCTTTGGACTTTTTAGCTAAGCCCGATCGTACACCTATCATTGCAGGTGCGCCATCTGTGCAAAGTCCAATGAGTTTATTCCAATCCAAGTCATGTTTTTCAACAAAATTTGATATTGAATTAAATATATTCTCAGAAGTAGTACCTGCTGTCAAAGATTGGGAGTATAAAATCTCTTCTTCAATGATATCTCCGCCGATGTAACGAACATACACTATTAACTATGCACAATTAACGATGTCGGTGGATTCATCACATCTAATTGCAAAAAATGGCGATAATTTTACTTTGTTGATTATTTGTGACTTTATGTCTGCTGCAATGTCATTGATTCTACGCTTGACTGTATTATCCGAAAGAGCAATAGATTTCATTTTTTGCTCTGCATCTTCTCCTAAAATTATCTGCGTGGCTTTTAGGACATACGGTTTTATTAATTCTTCACCAATAGTATGAGGTTTCTTTTGCTTTGCTATCATAAAAGCTATTTTAAATGAAGCTTTGAGATACTGCGATACACCTTTGTGATAACTTCCCGATTTATCCAATCTTATCCGCTTGAGTGATTCTGCTTTAGAAGAAAAAAACTCTTGCGTCTTCAAAACCAGAGTAGGATGTTGTACCTTCAAATGTCTTTCAAGGCGATTGGGCCTCATGCTATCATTACTTAAAACTTTCATACATATCACACACTGAGGTAACTGTAACTCGTCTTTTTCTATGAAGGTAAATCCAAACTTAATATAATCTTCGGAAAACTTTCTTTTTTCGCTGCCATTTTGCAACCTATAACAATAAAACAGTAATAAATAAACAAGCAAAATACCTACATGTAATTACTATTTATAAATGCCCATTTATCTTAATAACGTAATGTATTTAACGTTTCAAAATTAATTCGCCACGTAGGTTTGATTGTAATGTGTTAAAAAAGGTCCAATGATCGATCTACGAACGCATCTTAGCTCAATCAATAATTTAGTAAATTAAATAAAAATGACAACTGTAGTTTGTAAATACACAAACTTACCTTTTAACAGTGAAACATAATAATTATACACACTCAAACTAATTTCTCAGCAACAAATTGATACCGAAACGTCAAATTTTTCGTAAATTTGTGTGAATGAATGTCACAGATGCTCATGCACGTCCGGTAGGTACTCAACTATTTTCTATCTACCTATGATCTAATCCTAATTCCTAATGAACGTTATGCGGAATCGCTGCGGAGGGGTTGCGCGCGGATTTCATGTAGTGGCTTGTCGAAACTTATATAAACTGCGATTGACGACGTTGGTGTCGGGTTTTAAAACGGTTGTTGACATATTTAATTTCATTAATTTTATCCGTGTAAATGAAACATTACATTGTAATATTATTTGTAAATGTTGTTTGATTATTTTTTTTCTTTCTAAAATCGCAAACGTCTTCCGCCCCCCTTGACATCTCTCTATGCCCCCCTGATTGGGAACTCCGGTCGTACTTGATGGTAAGGAGATGGGTTTCATGCAGAATGCCCTGTTGATTTTTAAGTCAGGACCTAAGACAGGAGATTATCATATTAATATAAATTCAGAAAATAATGAAAAATGAATGAAAGCACAATTAAATCCCCAATTCGCCTATTGGATATGTTGTTGTTACTGATAATGCGTCATATCATAACGTACAAATTAATCAAGTACCCACTAGTAATTTTAAAAAAATGGATATGATATCTTGGTTGAATTGTATGAAATTATCAAACGACACGAACAAGATCATATTTAATATAAATTTGACAAAGTGCTGCAAGAATGTAGACTTTGTAGACTTTTAGAATGTTTCTTTAAAACCTCCGCCATATCATCCAGATTTGAACTCTATAAAAGTGGTTTGGGCGAAAATAAAACATGAAGTTGCAAAACAAAACGTGTATTTTAAGTAACAACACGTCAAAGTGTTTGTGGAACAGGAATTTGCTAGAATAACTGCAGATAACTCTAGAGGTACTGCAGAATAAAGGGTGCGAACATGTTGTCAAGGTTGAAGATAATAACTTTGATGTATTTATTGTATGGATTGGGAAAGTGAACGTCGCATACATGTAATTACCGAAGAATTACGGATTGATTTAAATGATCCTAGTGACAACGACAGTGAATATGATTATGAAAGTGAATAATATAATTTAACATTACGATGTACCTAGGTAAACTATCTGAATATAAGTTTTCTAAACTGTCCTGTATGTATGTATTATTTTTTTACTTCATTACAATCATTTCGTATATTCTTCTATTTACCTTTGTGTAAAATAATAGAGGTTTTAAAGTTTAAAAATAATCTTTGTAATTAATATTTATTAATACTGTAAGTTGTAATACAATACAGACAATATGTGTATGTGATATATTGTTATAATATGTATTAAAATGTGTGTTGCAATATTGGCAAAAACATAATCTAATATCATTGTTTAATAAATTGTGTGTACATAACTTTAACAATTTGATTTAAATCATATGTAAGTAGTTTTTTGGAACGCCGCTGCTTTGTTTGATGAGGCTTTACTGATTCTAGAAATTTCCGCCACTACAGTTGAATTACTCTACGATTGAACGATCGTTACTAAAAATTTATTTATTTATTTATTTTGCTTTTTTAGTTCACATAGAAATACGGACTTCAGTATTTTTCGCGGGATGGAAGATTAGGATAAGATACGCACATTTCTATAATGGATTTTCAGCTTATAACGGATTACTTTGGGATGGATTTTGTGAGCAGAGAAGTTGGTTCGGTGACTTACACGGAATATAAATTTCATTTCCAGCAAAATATTTTTCTGTAATTTTATTCTTTCGGCGGGAATATATTAAATTTTGTTCGAAACAATAAGGTACCTGAGTGAAATAAAGTAAACAAACTAATGTTTTAAGTGTCCAGTATGCTTAAGTTGGTAATATTATAAGCCTATCAGTAATTTATTAAAAAATTTAACTTTTAAGATATGTATTTGCAAATCTCGGATTCTACAGTTTTTTACTGAACGCAAAGCAGTAAATACAATAAATACAAAAAAAAAACATGTAACTTAATACCTGAATTCAACAATACTTATAACGTACAAAATAATTTCATGTTTACACAATAAACACACATTTGTATAAATAAAATTAAAAGTCAAAAATTAGTACAGTAAGAAAAAAAAACCAATTATTGTTAATTAAACAAAATACTTTAACCAATTAATTCTTGGCGTTACGATGATGTAACGTGCAAAGTGGTGCCATCTAAATAGATCCTCTATCGCCTACGTCGCAAGTTTTTAGTTAAAAACAGGTTTTGAATCTGTGCCTGGATAAAATATAACGAAAGAAATAAAGATTCACATAATGGACTTCATTGATAAAGAGTAAGTGGTTGATTGATAAATCTTATTTTGTATAATAAAGATAATATTAGAAAACAAAAAGTATAAGAAAATATAAATACATTTTTTTTTGTGTAAAAAACCTTAAATATTTTTTCAAATAAAAAAGTTGTTGGTTAGGAAATTGACTGTTAATACTAGACTATTTTTATTTGAAGGTGATTACTTTGCAACATCGCACTTAACGAAGCCCTTAACGATAACTTTTCAACGAAATCATATTCAACATCAATTTTGCATAGGCGTACCAAAAAATTTTAACCCTGGAACTGCACTGTTGAGTCTCAGAAACCCAGAGAGTCATTCATTGCAATGTGACATGCGCATGAGTGGTTTATGTGTGTCGTCACTTTATGTAAATTCAGTCTGTCGTAAGCCGAGTTAGAATACAGGTTATCCGCTGCATTTTAGTGAAAGAACGATGTGAGATATTTCCAGAAGTATAAGCATGGGTGCCCCGGACCCAAGGGTGATGTTTACGGTAATAATTTTGTTTCAACTTATTTTTATTTATTTAAGTATAATGGCGTCAACTAGTAGAGAAAATAGTCGACTAAAGGCATCAACTAGCAGAAAAAATCGTCGTCCTTTAACTGAGGTAGAATTACAGAGAGAGGCAGACAATTTATGGGAGAATGAGAGTGAAAACGACATCATAGACTATATGTGTGGAGGGGACGAGTCTGATGCAGATTACGTTGAAGAGCAACTGTCAGACAGCAACAGTGAACAAAGCGACAATAAAGACGAAATAGTGGATGAACCAGTAAGAAATATTCCTAAAATCTATCCACCGAGAAGCGATAGTGCCAGTAAACAATGAAATATACGCGTGTAGGGTGATAAAAGATTTAATTGGCTGGCGATTAGATCTCTCTCCGCCTATTTCAGATCTGTATTACGAAAATTAAGTGATATTTATGAATATATATTTTTAAATAATAGAACATTTTTGATTCAATGCACATACAATGTCGGCAATAAATGTTTTTCTCATCCCATAAGTCATAAACTTGGAAATAGATATTCATTATACAATTTTTTGTTTGTATTTTTAAATTAAATACTAATACTAAATCAAATGATAACACTGTACACAGCTGTACTGCTATAACTTCCATTAAATTAGAATTTGAAGAGAAGTCGAACGATAAAGATGCTAAAGGTGCATCCCTAGCCACAGTTAGACGATACTTCTGTTATTGCGCTGTTGAGAATTTGTTATATTTTATTGTGCTACATAGATTTTAAATCCATTTGTTGACAATTATGAAAAATGAGCACATACATTTTGCAATGCATATGGAATTTCCGTTAATCAGTCTGTACATGCCAAAAAACTCGTTCGCCTTCCGTTTTATAGCTAACTTGGGAAAAAAAAAACGTGGCTACTAAGATGGCTTACCTTGTTGTCGTTAAAAACAATTAGGAAAAACTTGAACTATCACTATCGCCATTACTACCAATTTCTATAATTAAT